AAAATCACTTAACGTGGGTAATGAGATCAGAATAAAATTTTTATAAGACAAAAACAGTTGTTGGTTAGCGTTAAAAATTTGACATAAAAAATGCATTCGGCTTTCTACAGATTTTCTATTCAGTCACCTTTAATACAGTTTCCACTTCGTATACAAATGGGAAATCTTCGAGAAACACGGCAAGTTCAAAAATTCCATCTTCAGTAGTTAGTTGGCTCATTGGTCATTAATTGGTTGAATTAGTTACAATAAAGTGCCTAAAGATTTTGGTAAAGAAGAGTAGAGCTAAGAAAAAGCTGATTAGAAAAAGGAAAAAAAAATCGGACATTCGCTTTGATTACAGCGCTAATATATCTTTTGAACAATAAAGTACAGTTTCAACACAAACCGACTGAACATGATGATTTCTCTCACACAATTCTTCATAATTAAATTTCTAAACATGACGTAAAAAAACAATCGGTTTTCAGATCATTGTTCGATTGAGGGGAAGTAATTATTCTAATACAATAATATATAACTGATGCCACATAAAATAGGTTTAAACTCCTTATTATATGACATAGGCCACGCATGCGCACGCAATCAATATGAGAGACGCCAGGAAATTACTGTTTGTTTTAAATGAAAAATCATGAACTCCTAAATTCTGAAACCTGAATCATCATGACCACCGAATGATTCCTTATTAAACTCATATTCGTAAGAAAAAAAAGGTTATCATTTTACTTTACTAAATTAATTATTTATTTTGAAATTAATCACTCCTAAATTGAAATTATTGTCTTCAAAATTTCACTAAAATAGCACCTAAATATTTATTAAGGAAAAGGTCGGAAAAAATCAATAATAATATAAGTATGAAATCAATTCCTCCTGGCTTAAGCCTACTATGCATGCGCAAGTGTTCTTACTATATAGTGTACGCAAAAAAGTACGTTTTTAATTTTTATTAATAAAACCATCAACTCCTAAATTATACAACCTTGATTATAATGACCATTAAATTATTCTCCAGCGGTTGTAATTATTTTTGAATCGTTTACTGATATCTTCTGCTCATTTTTATTGTAAAAAGAGAAGAATCCATTAAACCAAAACTAATTACTCCTAAATTTTCATTATGTTCTTCTAAATTCCACCGAATTACCACCTAAATATTTATGAAGAAAAAAGTTTGTAACGTTTATAAAAAAAATATATTTCTTCCAAATACACAGTGTCCTGTGACGGCTTGTCGTTGACTGAGCACGACCGATATCTTTCGTCATGCGACGAAACAATGAACCAAAAAACGCGAGCATGGAACCTTATGTTTATTTCCTTATACCCCGTTTATAAACATCACTCGCTGTTTTGATATTTTGTGGGTTCGTAAAAAAAAAAATCGTAAAAATTAAAATTTCGCATGTAAAAATCCAGGGACACTGCAGCAGTTAATATCTTAGCTGTATATATTTTTGTTCTCCTTTACCGTAAAAAATAAACATTGTCAATAAATTATCAATTTCAGTTAATTGAAAATTTAAGTTATTCTTTTCCTGAACAATCGATAAAACCATGGATTTATTTTACTTTATTACTGCAACTTAATGAAACGAACATAGTATTCAATTTATTTCAGCTATCGGAAAAAAGAAATCAAATTTGAATCGTAAAATTTGAGAAAGTAATTACATTCTCCCCCATCCCATTGACTAATTATTCAGACCCTAAAAACATTTTTTAAAAATATGTACATCGAAATATTCTTTCTCTTTTTTTTACGATTCCAATTCGTGATGTTTGGATAAAGAAATGTATTTTGAAAAAATCGAACTCCCAATTTCCAAAAAAAATTAACGTATATTTCTCGGAATTCGCCATTTCGTCCGCGATTACGATTTTTACATCGCAATTTATCTTATTAAAATCTTCCCGTGTATTGATTACCGTTTCACTAATTTGAATTTCAAATCACCATCTGGAGCGTACATAAAGGTAACTCGATATTTAAGGGGCTCGTAGTGATACTCCAATTTGTAATTTCGAATCAACTGAAACAAGAATAAAAGTCCAAGCTATAACTCAGGAGCAGTTATTTCGCATCAGAATTGGTATTTGAAAAAATAGTATAAATACCTTTGCGAGTAACACTTGCATCTCAAGATCCGCGAAACGTCTGCCAAGGCACATACGGGCCCCGTGGCCATATGGTAGAGATGCAAATGGATGGAGTTTATCATTGACATCCTCTTTCAACCATCTCTCAGGTTTGAAACTCTTGGCATCCTTCACCCACTCTTCCATATTGCCAGTAACGAGTGTGGGGAACACTACTTGAACCTGAAATTGTCATAAATTTTTCCAAATTCAGACATTTTTTATTTTTATATTTAACTTCTCAAGATGTGGAAAGTATTTTATGTCGCTTCGCTCGTTTCGTTCGTGCTTTTTATCACTTGGGACATAAAGCAGCATATAGACCACAGTCGAAAAGTGTTTTCTCCCGGGGGTGCATCATATACTAGCAATCACTCCGAACATTTGAAATTGAATTTTCCTTATATCTCGAACTTCAATATCTTCCCCACAATTCCCGACCTTATTCACAGTGATGTGTATGCACGTATGGATGGATGTGGTATGTGTGTATATATAAAAAATCTGTTCCAACCATATCTCCGAAACGCATAATGCGATCGAGATAATGAATGACCCAAGTGACGAATCTTGACACAACCAGGTACGAATTAGATTTTGAATTAAATTGGACTCGCGATTCTCCGGTTTTTTTCAGGAAAAAAAACAAAAACAAATAATTGTCATTTTTTTAACTTTTTACGATTAATTCTTCTCCAACTGCTGTCATGGTAATAGTGATGGACGATAGAATCGAAAGGTCCATATGTCAGTTATAGAAAAGTTATTTGTAAGAAAAATTTCGAAATTGAATAAGTAATAAACTGAACTAGATTGCTCTCTTTCATTTGACACTGCGTGAACTAAAAAGGACGATGAATAATTAATTTTATTACAAATCAAAGAGGAAAATGTAGTGAGAGTTCCATTGCAATTGATAACTTTTAATAAAAAGAGCTGCCAAAAATCCAATTGCTTTATTATATTTTTTCCTTCTTTCAGAAACCAGCTCTAAGTGTTACCTAAAAGACATCATTTTTTGTTAATTTCGCCTGAACCTACTATGAGTTCTGCTGTCAACGCGAGAGCACCTTTTTCGAAAGGATCGATGAAAATGACGTCTTATAATGGTTGAATTTTTAAGATTTTCCCACAAAAATTTTAGAAAACCTTGTTTAATTGAGTATTTTTAGCATAAGAGAAAGTTTGAATTCAAAATTTCTTTTTTTATATTAAAAAAATGAGAACCTTGTGCGGTTTTTTAGCCCCGGAAAACCATGTAACACGTCAAGCCTAACATCCATTACCATGAGAACGCTGAGGAATAATTAATTTTGGATAGAAAAGAAAGGAAGTAAAACAGATTAAATGGAAAAAGCATAATAAAAAGGCATCAATAGCGCTACTAAAAATATAGGTTCGTTCGCTGATGCAAAACGATCCACTAATTGGTGATTTTGTTCATTTATTGATACCGTGACCTTATATGTATAATAAAGGGACTACAGACAAATGAATAAAACCGGAAAAGTCATTGGTGCGACCTTAAATGTTAATAAAATGAAGCTTATCAGTGTCAAGTAGGAAATAACTGTTCCTTCCTTTATTTGGAAGAGGAATTAGGATACAGTGAGAAATTCCATTGGGAGAATCAATTATTAATTCTCCTTCTTCTAAAATTAGTAGCAATAATAATAATTAAAAAAAAATTGTGAATAAACTCTTGTGCAATCAATTCTCTGAATTTCTCTGAATTTACCCCTTTTGGTATTTGATATCCGCAGATAACAGCGTCAGCTTGCAATGTTCTCCCATTCCCAATCACGGTGGAATATACTCTAGAAGATAATAATCCAAAATGATGAAAGATGATAATTTCACAGAATATTACGCTATGGGAATACCAAAATCTGTAAGAAAGAAAAAATACCTGAACACTTCCCGAATGAAAGCCTTGGTATACACCGCCTGTTCCACATGTTTGGTCGTCAGTGGAATGGATGGATCAGGAAGAATTTGTTTTAATTCGTAATACACCTTCTCTTGTTCCTCTGTTCTTGTTGCTAATTGATACAGAATTGAACAAACGGCCATTGAAATCTGAAATGAGGCAGGGGCATTAATAATAATGCATTGGTCATATTCATAGCTGAAGAATGACACATTTACAATTTATTAATACGGAAGAAATCTCGTCTCAATAATTATCTGGAATATGGGAAGGTTCACGACGATTCAATGGGGCCCACATATATTATTTGTGAAACGTAATGTTGAGTTGGAATTTTATCCGGTCTGCACAAAATATTTCTAAATTTGGTATTCAAATCGTGTTGCGGATCTCACTCCAATGGTTGTAAAAATTTAATGAGAAAGAATTGAAAAATTGTTGAAGAGTGTAACATTGAAATATTCATTGCAAGGAATCTGCCAAGTTTATAGAAAAATAATTGATAATACGCCGTCTACCAGTCTCATTATAAAAGAATATATTTGACACATATTTAGTCCCAACAGGGACATAGAATACCAAGTGAACCCTATCTGGAAAACCGTCCTCCCAATTTTTGTTGATTAAGCCCTCCCCTCCCCGCCACCACCGCCGCCACCGCCGCTACCACAGGGGAGGGGATGTGAGGACTACCCTCAGACTCCGGAGTTCACATTTAGGGATCTTAGCCCTGACGATGCTGACTACAAGCGATCGCATCATCCATCTACAAGCCAACTATACAATATATTTGACGATCAATAACAAAATACAGCCACCATGGACTGTCAAATGCTAGTGGTAATGCTATTTTTAATTATTTGTAATATATATGTGATATTTGATGCAATACCTTGCAATGAATATCTCAATTTGCGATCCTTCAACAATTTTACCGCTTCTACGCATAACTTCTTTGCGGTTTTCAGAACACAACTTAAGGTACTTCCGCAGTAAGTTTTTGGAGTATACAGTTGGGATAAAGATCAGTGGGTCCAACATTTTGCTGCATGGTTAGAAGAAAAAAATATGAAACTAAAAATGATTATCAAATTATCAAATAATCAAAAATGTCGTTAGTTTGATTCTCCTTATTTTTTATGTTGAATTAAGTGAAAAGAAAAATGTATTATTCGCGAAAATTACTTATATTAATTTATGGCTTGGGTACGATCATCCCAAAATCGAATGACACGCGGGTGGTAAATAATTGAAGAGAAAAGAAAATTGAGTAGAGGAAATGGGCATAGTTATCCGAGAGACATGGCGCAAGTCCATTTGAACGATACAAGAATCCACAGTTGAGGAATCCCGAATTCAGTAAAGATGAAACAGTTCGGAGATCCAAATACTCGAATAGTTTTAATTGGTTACTGAGAATTGAGGATAACTGGAATATTAAACGAAAAACTTACTAAATTACAATCAAAACTAGAGTTTCTGCTTTTTTTACGCTTGGTATTTCTCAATTTTTCAATTTTCAGACCAATATCAACCATAACCAATTAAAATTGTTACAGTATTCGGATCTCGAATCGAGCCCCGAATTCGAAAGAAGGCGTCCATTGGTTCCATTCAATACTTCGTTCTTGAGTTATCCACTTGACTTCATATTTCATCCGAATGATTTCCAAAACGTAAATGTTTCAGTAGAAATTTACGGCAGATCCGTGGTTAATCCTGTCATATTTAACAATTTTCGGATTATTATTATACTGATCATTTAATTACCTTGGAATGCATTCATCCCGTAATCAGTAGGAGCATAGAAAAAGAATTGCCAAATATTTCGCTGCGCTTTCGAGCGCCATTTCGACGGAAATTCCTGACTTCTTCACATGTTTTTGATAATTTCTCATGATTTACATTGTAACTTTTGATAAAATTACATGAATACATTTCCGTATCATAGGCGGTATGATATTGCCAGCATTTCTGTTTTATAAAATGTCGATGATTTTTAAAAATTAGTGGAGAAGTGCGTGTCATTTGACACTGTACAAATGATGTAGATCAATTTTTTTTTCTAAGAAAACTGGACTGAAGATTTTCCTGGGACTTCGTGGGTATATTTATATTTATCACGCGAATGTATAGGCGAAGGTTCAAATTTCTCCACAATTCCCTCCACTCCCATTTAACTTACTGCAGAAGTACCTCAAAATCTCAATTTAGAAATATTGTAAAAACCAAACCAAACATTACCGTCGATAGCTAATACATGAGGACATTAAAAATATTTATTTTTACTTTATTGAAATTTCCCCGACATTTTGCTGGAAGAATCCTCGAAGACTTTTTAATTGCAAGATATTCATGGAACAATTTGATATTGAAAAGCAAGCATTTTATAAAAGAATATGCTACTGAATCAATGTTTTAGTTACCGTGTCAATTCCAACAAGTATGAGATCGAGAGCAAGAATGTATGCTATTTTTGGATCTTTTTCGTCGGCTAAGATCCTTTCCACCAGTGATAAATCAGCCTCATTGATCGATTTTCTGTTCTTAAGTCTCACAAGAGCGGCATCAATGTGTTTTGTGCATATCCTATAAAAATAAATCATGCAATTATAAAGCGTTTGATAATCACTATTCATGAATAAATTTTCGCATTCGTTAGAGAATTCTACTAAATTCATTATTCTTCCAAACTGGAGAGTGGCAGCGCGCATGAGGTGGAAGCACGTATGAGCCGCATTCAACTCGATTTTTCTACTCAAAAATCACCGTTAAATCGATATTACGTTCCTTTACGACATTTCTAAGCCGAGACACCAAGTATAATCTCGAGAAAATGAATACGAATCGCGATACTTCAGCGAAGGAGACTGTAGTGAGTCAGCGGAATAAGCCAATGGATGCTGGTGAGACTCAACCCGATGAGGATCCTAACGATCTCATATAGTTTGTAGATATGAGTATGGGAAAAGGAGGGAGCCGGAGGAAAGTGAAATAGATAAGCTGGAAACGTCCTTCAAAAGCCGGAGAGGCCGTCAGCAACACCAAAAATCCACCCAACTGTCAAACAGCTCCCTCAAACGAGAAATGCGGCGATTGCCCATGCCACGAGGGTGAGGGCTTTAGAGACCGAGGCTTACTGAATACTTGAAGGATGAGGTGGAAATTGAGGAGACCCACAAAATAAAGTGGGGCACTTGCTAATAATGAACGTTTCATACAGCTCGAGGATATAAATGACGAGGGCCACCGAGACACTGTGATAATAACCAACACATCTGACGCCTCGATACACTGGTGAACCTAACAACGGAACAGGTACAATTAACGGACAAGCTGACATCTCCAGTACCAGCCCCGATCATTGCACCTAGGTGAGCTGTGCTCACCAGAGCCTTGAAGGCCTCGAGAGGAGACTCTTCGAGAAAATCGATGAAATCGAATCGAATTTCAGCTCAATCTGCCGAGTTCCGGAAAGACAGCAGTTTCTAGAAGATCGTTGATCCTCAGTATCAAAAAAACCACTTGCCTCAATTCATTTAGGTCAAAATCTTGTTAGTAGTGATTATGACGCATTCGTTCATAAAATTCCGCATTTTAATTTATATTCTCTTCTATTAGTCAAAATGCGGCCAGCAGAAAAAAATTTCTTTTGCTCAGAGTATGTAGTAACCTCAAGAAAATATATTTGAAAAAAGGAATTTTTGTTGGCCCTCATTGAATGATTAATTTTTTACATGCGGTTTTCACAAATATGTAGCTCTTATTTTCGATTAGTTCACTACTGTAGATTGGGGATCAATGTACTATCATGATGGGGCAGAAGCACTTCTACTGAAGTTAGACAGAGTGCCATATGCAGTAGTGAGCAGCTGTTTGATAAATGTACTTCTACCACCTAGCCAGTGAACCGCCACTTATTCAACGTCGCTAATACCTCACAAAGAAATACTTGGCACGGGCTGCAGCCAATGAAACAAATTTATTGATTCCACAATTAAAATGAATGAAAAATACTTTTGAGAAATCATCATCTAGAGGTATTTCATACTTACATAATCTACATATATCGAGTGTGGAACTCTTTAAAGGACGATTGGAATGGGATGGAATCGACAACAATAGCATGCTTGTATTTAGATTCATTTGACTCGCATTTTCTACCGATTAAAACTAATACATCTGATGGCCCCACTATTAGAAAATCCAAAGATGTTAAAAAGAGCTTCGAGGAGCTATTACGATGTAAATATGGAAAAGAAAAACTTATTTTGATCGATGAATCTAAAAAATATGAACCTGCAATGTCCTGATCTGGTTTTCATAAAAAAAGTAAGATTGCATGGTGATCCCATTTATTTTGTCGAACTCACTGCTATTCAAGAGACACCGCTATTTACAATAGAATCTGAGATTGTAGAAGAAAATATAATGTCAGACTCGAAGTCCTGTATTATCGCTTTATGTGGAGGTGCTTCAGATAAAGATAATAAGCTAATATATAGTGTTAAACAACTATTAAGGCAAATGAAGGAAATGTATATTGAGGTTGATTTTTCATTGGTCCCGTCTGATGAAAACATTGAGGGTAAAGTAGACCTGTTAGCGAAAGAGGTATTGTTTGAACTAATTGAAGAGGAAGTAAAATACCAGGGTACAGAACTTAATGAAAAGTTTAAAAGAGTTGTTTGCAGCTTCATATCGTACTGTTAAATTTCGTGATTTTACGAGAATAAAGTTGTGATTATTTTAGATGTCAAACAAGTATGAAGAAAAAAAGTTGATTTGATGAGACTAACTGGAATACATATCAAGTCTTAAATAAAAAATATTTTTATAAAAAACAAATATTATTCTCCCCTTATATAAATATGGAGAGGGGGCCATGAATGTTAACCATATCGTATAGAGTTGCAATAGAATACCAGTGCTAGACCGAGTGAAATTCTATAGCATTATTATAAAATGAGGCATTAAAATGAACAAGGATGTATAACAAATATTTTTGGAGAAACCATTGAGTATACTGATAAATTTCCGTAAATTTTTCGAATCTCAAGATCATATAATAATCTAAATATTCACTGCAGTCTTTGGGCTGACATCCATCCGGCGCAGATGTTTTATTTCAAAGCTCAGTTAATATAACGTATTGTTCGCCAGTCAAAACACATTCATCAAAATTTCTTATATATAAAGGAGAACATAATGGCTACCGCTCAAAATCGAATTGAAGAAATACGAAATCGAGGGCAACCTCCGGTACAATCAACGAGAGATTATGTAGTTGAGGAAATGAGGGTTAATTTCAAATCACATAATTGGATCGAAAATACAATACGGAGAGTACGGTACATCATGTGTGATTTCATGCATATGGTGAAAATTTCTTTCTTGGAAAAAAAGATTACTCTAAAAACTATCATAGCGAAAAGCATGCAAGAACATGTAACTGCAAAAACTGTCAATTTTCTGCGACTGTGAAAAAAGTGTTTTGAACATTGAAAATTTTTCAGGGACGATAAATCCTTGTGATTTGTGCCTTCAACTCGACTATTTATTGAATGAAAAACGATGAATAAATTTGTTCGTTATTGTTTATCACTCCATTTCACAGATAGTTCAGGTCACGGAAACAATCATGAGAACCATTGTTCTTAGCAGGTATGAAACTCTTGAAAAAGCGATTCTCGCCAAAAGCGATGCCAGTACGGAATTGGGACTTATTGTAAACATGCGACTCGTGGATACCATTGGTATGGAAACGACCCGATGGTGCTCCTGTGAGAAAAAAAAAGTGCCGGTAAGTGAGATGAAGTGTCCCAAATGTGGTGAAGTGAAAATTACACATCCCTGGAACAACTAGAAGATAGAGGATCTGTTGTGGGAGGCCCCCTCCACCATGTGGAAGTGGTCAGTCAGGGTGGTGTGCTGTCGGATTCGAAGCGATGTTTTTTTTATATATATAAGTATGAACAAATACAGTTTATACATTAACAAATTATAAAAATGCTGCAGGAAGGCAGTGGAGATAGTCGCGACGGGTGTGACAGACCGCAGTCACATTGACACCGCCGTGAGGGATTAAATAGCAGCTTTGTGTTGTCCCTTTATCTATAAATGTATCAACATGTGTTGTCTTAGGTGCCGAACACTGCAACATCTCCGCCGTGGTCCTGGGTAACGCAAAGAGCGGTATAAAAATGCGTGTAACTTCTGATCTAATTGTTGCCAGAGACTAATTTTTGACGATTCGGAAACGGAATGAAACAATCAAGACGCACGCCGAAAAAATCGGAGCGGTGGAGCTATTCTAGACATTTACCAATTTTTTTTATGAATTATTAAGGCATGATATGATGAACCTATGTAATGACAGGGAATGCGAAAGTGATTTCCAGTGACCAGTATGGAAAATTGTAAAAGGCCTATAAAATCATTTGTTTATGAACTTATATTGGTAAAACCGTTCCAAATACGAAATAATATTCTGTGAATTTTTAGGTAAACGAAAGCTCAGCAAAGGAGACTTGCTTACCTACCTTATGACTCCAATGGACCCCGCCAACATCTGAGGTGGAGACACTGATGGCCAGAGTATAGCCAGAGTTACTACAAAGGGGAATGGATATCATCCTGGGGCCTCTTACCAAAATTCTGAGAGCCAGCGTAGCACTCAGAACTGTGCCACGAGTTTCGGGGGAATCAAAATTTCCAGAAACCATCATTGACTGGGTACAAAACATGTTAGTGAGCAGGTCTTTAACACCCGATCACAATGGCATATAGATAGGCAGTCGTCCGAAGGGTGGGTGCCCACAGGGCAGAGTTTTATCTCCTGCTACTGCTACCTCTACTGCTGCGGTGCCTCGTCGTGGACGAGGTCCTGGAAGAACTGAGGGAACAGGGCTTCCTGGTGTATGGATACGTGGATGACGTGGCCATTGTCGCTAGGGGCAAGTTCCTCAATGTGCTGAGAGATAGGCTGAACCACTCTCTGAGAACATTGGTGAATTAGTGTAGAAGGACGAAACTCTCAGTTAACCCTGAGAAGACATCGGCTATGATATTCATCAGGAAATACAAAATTATAAACCCGAAGCCGCAGAGGTTAGCGGATGCAGAGATTGCCTATGCTACATCAGTGAAGTACCTGGGTGTTCAAGTGGACGCCACGCTCCACTGGACGGAGCACATAGAGACATAGATGGGCAAGACGTATGCCTCACTGTGGGCATGTAGAAGAGCCATGGGCAGAGACTGGAGCTTTAACCCAAAGATCAGTCAATGGCTGTATAAGATGGTTCTGCTGCCGCGGCTGATGTACGCCTCTGTAGTATGGTAGCCCAGGGCGACGAGGGTGGAAACAAGGAACCGGCTCAAATGCCTACAGGAAAATTTCCTGAGGGCAGCGACCAGGGCCATGAGAACGACACCCACGCCCATGCCCTGGAAATTGCCCTGGACCTGCCTCCACTTCATCATCTTGTGGTGAGTAGGGCAGAATCAACAGGTTATAGGCTCCTGTGCCAGGGGGAATGGATACAAGCGGAAGCGGCACACGCCAAGCCTGACATCCTCACGAAAAATCCCTGGAACATGAGTCAAGATAGAATGACCAGGACGTACCAAATTAGGAAGGCCTTTAAAATCTATATCCCTGACAGGGAGAACTGGGAAACTGTAAAGAAAACAGACACCAATGTCACGCACTGGTATACAGATGGCTCAGGATACAGAGGCTGCTTTGGAGCAGGACTGTACGGGCCACATGAAGAGTATTCCAAGCGGAAATTCTGGCAATCGAAAAATGCTCAGAGCTTCTGGTGTCCCGGATGACAATCAACAAACTCATCTTTGTGTGGACAGATAGTCAAGCCACTATAAAAGCTCTCCTCAAATCCAGCGCTGACTCTAAGTTGGTCTGGAAAACCATGGAGAGTCTCGAAAAAATGGGGACCAGCAACAAGGTAACCCTTGCCCGGGCCCCAAGTCACGAGGACATCCGCGGCAATGAAACGGCAGACGTGCTGGCGAAGCAGAGGGTAATAAACGTGGACGAATCTTCGCCAGTAGAAGTCCCCAATGCCGTGGGTGTAAGCCACATAAAGGAAAAGCTCCGACGTGAACAATCGGAACGGTGGAAAGACACAAATACCTGCAGGAAGGCCAGGGCAATCATGCCTGGCCCCCTCAAGAAAAGGTCGAAACACCTACTGGCCATGGACAGGAGGGGTCTGGCCCCTACGATCAGGCCCACAGGACATGACAGATTTAAGGAACATTGCAGAGTCATCGGCATGGACTCGGATAAGTGGTGCAGATTCTGTAATGAAGCAAAAGAGGACAGTCTACACATCGTATGTGACTGTCCGGCTCTAGCAGCGACGAGCCTGCCCTGGTGGGGAACTGCCTTCTCCACCGTAAATCAAGTCGCGAACAAGCATGTAACGGATCTGTTAAGACTGGCAACAAAGGCTGGGCTGGACATGTAATCCGCGCATAAAATAAGCAGAGCTACAATAACTGTAATCTGAGTTTGGTAGCATTGGGGAGACTAGTCCGAACATCCGCGTACCCAAATCTAATCTAACCTAATCTACGTAAACGAAATGACACATTTCGGCAAAAAGTGAACATAGCAGCAATATTAAAATAGTATATTTACAGAATGCCGAGATGGAGCGTTAGAGCCGCAAGCAAGGACTGGCCCACACGAGTGAAAAACCCCTATCAACAAATGCCTGGATAGTATTTTAACGTGATAGTTTTCACTTTTTCCAGTTTGAGGAGTATGTACCAATTCCCAGGCGACAAATGGTGAGAAGCCGTACGGGAAAATAATTGAGAACATTCACGTTCCACGGATTGTTTTCAATAATTTTACAAAACGATCAAATTAAAAACACAAACGGCGAACGAAAGCAATATGGACATTAAATGAAACATGAAATTTACGGGAAATATAATATTGAATAATGATCGTATTTTGAGAAAGAGAGGATAATTATAACATAAAACGCGGATTTTCATATACGAATATCCCAGAATAATTACAAAGAAGATTTCGAAAAAAATTGCATTAAGACAGATTGTTCTTTGATAGAGATCAAAGATTTTCAGGAAATTGCTGTATTTTAGAAACTACTCTACTGATTAAGGTGCAATCACGCCCCGAAATCTTTCACAATAATACCCATCTTATGTGAAGAGATTTTAGACTCCCAGCTTCGGCTTGAGTTATTTTTATATCTTGTTTTATTAAATTTTTCGAAATCATTGGCACATCCTTTTGTACACAAATAGATATATGCTGCTAAAATCTCGTATTTTTTCGTTTTCGTCGAAATTAGCGAATTTAGCGTATTTCCGACCGGCTACAAGAATAACTGGCGTTCATAGAAAATTACAAGAATTTAAAATTATTTATCGAAAGTCAAAGTTGATGGAATTACCGGAAAAGGTAACGACTGGGAAATTTAGAGAATACGAAATTTCGAAATAAGTGCCCTTTAAATGAAATTCAGTTCAGAATTATTTGAAAAATATTATTCAATGAGTTTCTAATTAATGGAATCCTTGGATGGAACAGTGAAGCTCACAAATAAAAAGAAAATATTTTGAATTTCACTGAAAAAGTATCAAAACTCCACCGATAATTTGGTCAAATGACATGCAGTATTATCACTAATCATAACATTCGTCACCATGACAACGGTGATGAATAATTCATTCTGCAAAAAAAAATGACGGAACCAAAGAAAAGGAAATAAAAAAACAGAATAAAGTGGCATCAACGATGTGACCGCTTGCAGCCACGGCGGCGCTGGTACAATTCAAATTGAAAGTGACGGGGCTACACAGGATTGAGTTTGAATTGTGCAAGTTACGAGAAGAGACCTCTATGTGACTTGCTTTGGCTTCCGTGGTAGATTTTTAGAGACTACCATGAATGAACACGTGATGAGGAAACATAATTGGCGTTCATAAGTTGATTTTAATCGATTTAGCGGATTGAGCAGTGAGCTACTTTTGTACTGCCATGTACCATCCCATACGCGTACCTCGCCTTCATGAACGTTCACATGGGAACACATCCTTCGGCTCACCGCCCATGACAATTTCCAGCCCATGCATTCGTTCAGTTAAAAAGAAGTGTCCTGGTGGAGGGCATGTGAAAAGTGTCATGGGCGATGAGCCGAAGGATCCGTTCTCATATGAACGTTCATAACGGCGGGCTATGAATTTGAGTCGATTTGACTTGATTTTAGTCGATTTTGAGGAAATTGGCATGCATCGCCATTACATCGAACAAATATCTCCTCTTCCTTATATTAATGAATTAGTGCAATCCATCTTTTCCAAGTTCACTCTGCCCGAGAATATGCATGCCTTACGGGAACAAACTGAATTTGCCTGATTTATATGCGGGGTGATTAATGAGCAACTATCGAAGCATCAATTATCATTCTCATAAAACATTCGCAAATGCATTTGAAAATGGGAATTCCATCAACGTCCCAGTCGCTTTAGCGACCGGGGCTGTGCGAGTTTTTACTAAAGGAGACACAAGGATAAGAAGAAGAAGATCATGGCGATTAGCATCAATTCTGTTTACGTGATCAATGGTAAGACGCCAGGACGGTTTTCTTGGATGAATCTTTTTTATTGGGATTTTTTTTTTAGATACTTACTCAACGAAAAAATCCATGTTTCTCACGTAACGAGACCAAAGTGGCGTAGGTATATATCTCCAGTACGGAGCTTTCAATTCCAATTCTGCAACATTTCTCAGTGCAAATTTAGCAGCATCGATTATTTTTTGGGGCTCTGAATTAGGTGTTAAGTCATCGTCCAGGCAGCCTAACCTTGCGTCAAGAGCCACACGTCCTATACCTAAATTGATCTTTCTTTGAATCTTAATGATCTTTCGTGAATCTTCATCTTTTGTAACTTTTGAATTATTAAGATAATTTTATTTAACATTCGCGTGTATCATTTATCGAATGTAATTTTGGTTAGCATTTTGAGTTAGTCTATCATTGGTAACAGTTGACTGTCAATTGTATTAATTTCCCTCATTATGCGATGGCTGGTAAACTGCATATTTTTTAGTATATTCCGCAATAAGTGCGTAATGGATTTTTTGACTCGTGGGAAGCTCGCAACACCAGCCAAAACGAGGCATAGGTACAGTCTCAGTCCTATAGTCTCATATATATTATATCTAACGGTGAGAATGGGCGCTTGTCCCCTAGAAAGACATGGCGCTAATTCAAAATTTTAATAGCATGAAATCTATAGTCATTGAATTAGAAATTTGGCAGTCAAATGGTGAGAGTTGTTAGTGGGAAATTATGAATATTTTGTAAACTTTTTACTCCGTGAAGTGAAGTGAATAATAAAGGAACCAATAAAAAACTGTTGTAGCAAACATGTTGGATGATGTTCGAATGGATTACCTCTTTGCATGAGTCCAATATTATTGGATTCATAAAAATTTTTTGGTATACTGAAGTCAGCATAAGTTTTAACATTGATTTTAGGAGTGGGGGACATGGTTACAAGTGGTAACTACGTGGAGTGGGGGTACCCAGAGAAGTAAAAACTTATGCTGACTTTAGTATAGTGATGACGAAGTTGTGGTGGTTTTTTATCATAAGACAATTACATCAGCGAAATCTGCAGGAAAGGCTATTGTTATGCTACTATTTATAATGTACTTCCAGCATTTCAAGATAATGAAGTCATAATAATGAAGATAATGTTTGCATTCATGATAATCAGAAAACCATTGCATGCTTAATCATGGAGCTCTTGTCAATTTTCTATGATGTTATATGAGTTCTGGAAATTATTAGTGTGAAACGTAATGTCAAAGCTATAACCCAAGAAACGACTATTGTAGAAATACTAAAACCTATGAGTGTCACTTTGTTCGATTAATTGAACAGATTAATCATAGGAATATTAGAATGATTTTTACTTGGTAAGTGAAACGTCAAGATAACCGAAATTCCCAGAAAGAAACGGACTGAATTATAGTTGAAACTATAATTTAGATCATTTTTTTCGGGGGATTTCAACCATACCAATTTTCATCATCCAAATATAAATGATTCTAGTTTTAGTGTGACTAATCAATCCAAAAGTCGAACAAACTCGCATTCTGAAGTATCATGTTCATTTCTTAGGTTATACACTTGACCGTAAAGGTTTATCCTGATAATTGCGACAATTTACATACTGCCGTGAAATATAATGGGTGATCCTTACTCAAATATTTCAAACTGAATGGCGTTCTGATTTTTTTTAATACTGGTGAGTTCAGTGTCATGGTATTTGCTAGGTAGGCATTAAGTAGTAGCAATAAAAATTTTGCTACTACTTATTGCTTTTATTGAATGGAAAGAGTAATCACAACTACCTACTTCATATTTATACTTTTCCTGCATTCGACAATATTTAGGTAGTCCACAAAGTTGAACTATATAAATATCGTTCTCCGTTTTTCTCAGGCAGATACTTATTGACTCGCGAGTCAATAAGTAATAGACGCGTCTATTACTTAATACCCATGATGGACCGAACAGTTTTTAAAAAATATTGTTCTTTTCCACAGAAAAACATTTCTGTTTTCACTGCTCAACTCCTAATTCATTAACCATACATTTTTAACTATCCAAATATCTGACTTAGTCACGCCTTTCTAGTGCGGGTGTGTATATTCCTATCACGCTTGAGCTTTCTTCGTGTTTCACTTGAGCTTTCTTCGTGTTACTCGGTACTTATGGAAAGATTTCGGGCTGAATGTGCCCAAGCCGAAGGCGTGTTTTGCAATTCCACGATTCAAAAAATTCATAACACGTAATCCGCGATTATACCGATCGAAACGCTCAGATTATGCTATGCTCATGCTATGCTTCGCGTATGCTTTGCTTAAAATTATTTTTCTGTTAACCTGGTAGATCCCTTGGAATCACTATCTCGATCGGCCATAGTTCAGAAATTTTTCCCAGTTTGTGAACTTATTCAAACCAAAAATTACCATCGATAGATAGTACATGCGAGCCATAATGCAACTAAATTAAATTCTTTTTTCGCTCTTACATTCCAGAGCCCATTTATGAATTTCGTTGTCAAAATCCGCTGGAAGTTCATTATTCTCATCCTTGATTTTCTCAATTCTAAAATGAAAAGTAAATTAATGAAATTCATGAAAAAAAGAACTTTGTATTGGATGACTACATCAATCTATAGTCCAATTATTAATGAAATATTGATTATTGTTCGATTATTCTCGAGGGATTACCTGAGTGGATTCGGCAGCAAAATGGTAAAATGCAATGGTATACATATTCTTTTCATATATTAATTGTAGGATATATATGTATTATCCATGTGTAACGTTATTTTAATGAAAGTCATTTCATATATATGTGACTTTTTTTTTCAACGGCTTAATTTTGATTTTTAATCGACTACTGAACCCAATTTCTTGTATTTTGGAACAAAGATAGACAGCAGACCGCCCATAGACGGTTTTATTTGGGTAGTTACCGATCGTAAACACGAGTATCACTGTCAATTCAGACTGGGTCGAAGGTATAATTACTAGTGTCAATCTACTAAACAATTACTCCGTGAAGAAATAGACCACACAAAAGATAGAACCATGTTAATTTTCTTATGGTCTATTACGTTGGGTGGGTTTTAACAAGTTTTGGATGTGTGAGCTATTTCTTCTGACATTTTTTATAACAATTTCCACTATAATCCTCGTATTTCTAGATAAATTCAAATTTCGAATTTTACTTACCTTTCTATAAAGTCTTGAGTCACTTTAGCAATAGGCGTGATATATTTTCGTACCGTTTGGGGCTGGAGGACCGGTTTCTGAACACGCGTCCGGAATGACTTCCAAGGCTCTCCGTGGCTGAAAAATTCGTTCGAAAAAACATTGAATTACATTAATTGATAATTAGCACATATTTGAACTAGCAACCTAATTGAAAGGTTACGTATTGACTGAGAGATACTCCAGAATTTCGGTCGATGTTCACTTGAGATTTTTCATAGGTGAAATGCTAGTCTAGTTCATTCAATTCTATCTTAGCCAATTCGTATTAGTTACGGTCCAAATTAACTATAACTACTTGTTTCTGCTTTTTTTATATGTAAAAATTTTTCATTAAGAATTTTTCAAAGATCTTTCTGTTGTGGATTCTTTAATGAGATTCAGAAAGCGTATGATATAGAAAAAAAATCATTACATTGAGCCTAATAATTTGATAGAAGTATTCTCAAAAGAAAGACTCATGTTTTATATTATGGAAATCTCCGTTGAAGAACGTGTGTGGAATATTGAATTTTGTGTATAGATAAATTCAATTTCCCCACACTATTTTTGCAAAAAATTATACGGAATTGGAAACTTCTCACATGGAAATAATTGGCTTAATTTGTTGAGAATTACAGCAAGCTTTCAATAATATAAAAAGCGCAATTATTACATGAAACTTTTTCCTACGATAGAATGAGTTCCAAAGAAATAATACTTACATTCCTACGACACCACCTAAGTCACCAAAAAAATGTCTTCTGGCAACACCTTTATAATGCACAAGACAGGGCATTGATGGTCGAAAGGGTGTAGGCCCTTCCTGCCTATACATTTTTTCAATTTCATTGGCATTGTATACAAACAATAGATCAGGTCTGCCAATTAGACCACTAAGCCGCACTATTTCACCGTATTCTTCATGAAACATTTGGGAAATTTTGGCTACGTCACCAATTTCATATTGCCCAATTACTGGGAACAGACGCCACGTATTACCCAAAATTGGTATTGGTTTTGGACCAGGTACATCTTTATAAGGTCTCACATTGGTTAAATCGGGGCATTCCCTATGAGCATTTAACGCTTGATTACTCATGGATCTGAGAATTGTATCGATTTTCCGCATCATCGGAGGAGCTGGTGCTGATGCTGACCTAATTTTTGAACACCCTGTAATAAACTTAATTTGATTTTTAATGTTTTTCGAAGTACATGGCAACAATTTACATGAGAAAAAATACTTGAAATTTTTGCATTGTTTCCCCACGTTTTAAACTTATATGATAAAAATTTTCTTTTTTACACATTAGAAAATTTCTCTCATTCAAAGGATCTCAAAGGATACTATAAATTCCTGGAGAGAATATTTAGACACTAAACTTTGGTAAAACTACTAACCTACAATGCCTTTTTTTTTAACCGAAAATGGGGTTACTATTAAGTAAATTTTATAGAATAATTCTAGTAGTTCTTCAAAATCGATTTTAAGGAAATGAAAAATAATTTTCGCTGAAATTTTACTCGTACCTCGCGCGAAAAAAAATGCTAATAATGATATGTGACATATTGCATTTTTTGCCCGAATATATGGGTGAACAATTAACATATATTTTGTCGTTTTCACCTATATGTCACGTATAATTATTCCCATATATATTTTCGCACAAGGGTATATCGAGGGACACAATAATTTTACAGCCATAATTTTTCACCGATGGACAGATCCTTCAATAATTAAAAAACTTCCACCATTTTTAGCTAGGTATTTTCATATTATGTCCAAGAAAAACTCCTTCATGAAAAATTTTTGAGGTTTGTTCCTGACCACATGAATAGCAATTATATCCCTGAAATAAAATTTTTTATATCGTTTTGAGACATTATAAAGTAATTGCAAAATAGCTAATAAGCCTGCAATACTTTTCATCAACTATATTTAATAATTAATGATGTGCACATGAACCTGAAGTTTACTACGTCTGTTCGAATCACCTTGACCGAATTTCAACCGATCTCTATGAAACTTTCACATCTATTCACGCATCAAGAAAAATTCTCTATCGAACAGAACAACTCTTCAAATATTTTAGTTTGTAATAAAAATATAAATCATTTTCAATCCGCTCTTCTTAGCTACTATTGAGACATTATCCTGAAATTTCAAATTCGAGCAATAACAAGAAAGACATTACGTACTCAAGGGAGAAAGTCGAAATAAAGGTGTCCCGTTATTGTGAGACAGGTACGCTGGTGATCAGTATATCGGTATCTATACTTCTCTCTGTTTAAATTATTCTCACCGATTCTCCGATAGAAATTGGATTGGATTGGAATCTTTGAATTTGCTCTACGGTTTTGACCTCAAAAAATAAAAAAAAAGAAGAAAAATAAATTTCACTCTTTACCTCTTATTCGAAGTCCATGGAATCACTTGCTGAGTGAGACTATTCACCGCTGGTGGGAGATTAACTGGGTAGTGCCGGTGAGTGGAAGACCCTAAGAGATTGGAATTCTGTATACCTCTACTAGTCCCGCCCATCTTGTATGTCGTTTTCCTCCTCCAAATGCATACAACGAAGTATCGTTTTAGATCATTCCACTCTATTATAATGATTTCCTTTTCGATTTTCTGATTTCGCCAGACAAAGATCTAGTATGTGACGAAACGAGGAAATACAAAGTTTTGAGTGAATGTAGGGGCGTATGTCTGTATATGTGTGCGCAGTATTTGGATTTTAAAATAAAAAAAGACACAAAACAAACAGCGTAGAAACCGATTTGGTAGATGCCTTCGTGCCGTTATTGACTGCGCCATAAGTGTTCTCTTTCTTTTCATTTCTACCAATTTCACCGATAATAAACTTTCGAATGGAAAAACTGCCCACTTCCAAAATTATGAACCAATTGAATTATAATACCGATGTATTCGCTTATGTGCATCCCTAACATCACATTTATATCAAATAGTTCTTAATATAAAGTATAAAAACTTACGATATCATACGACTGTGACCGATTCATGTTATATGACTTTACCCATAATTAAAATTATTAAATTATTAGAATTATTACACAACATCTCAAATTTAGAATCCTAGTTTTATGTCTATTATAGATATCACATTAACTTTGAAATGAAAAAAATTAGAAAAACGCTGATGTTGTCAAAACGTTGCATAAAAGAATATGGATATTTCGATTGATCGTAGTAGAAGATATCAAGAGATAGCAATCATAATAGTTTGTTTCAAAAAAGTGAATAAATACTCACTTTCCAACTCATATCTTACGTTTTCAGGGACTTGTCGTGTCCACAACAGGTTTTACAAAAAAAAAACGTTGATTGTTGTCAAACGGATGCAAGTTAAGGAGCCATATTACGAACGGTTTCAACGGATAGTATCGTAAAGAATACTTTCTGACCAAAAAACTTCAATTCGGTGAAGTCATTTTTCAGATATAAAAAAGAAACATTTTTCAGTAATTACTATATCTCGATAGTTGCTGACCCCATTAAGGATGTTTAGCCGGAACCGATAATGTTCAATATCGTCTACATTTTTTTTCATATAATAGCTGAGAGTATAAACCATACGCAAGTCACACTTTCGACCCGCCGATTCATCCATTTCAGTAAGATAATAATTAGGGAAAACACCTGTTTGTAAGACAGAGTCTTATGGGGAAACGTAACCGCGATAGCTTTCATTAAGAAGGGCAGTAGAATGCGCACTCAACATCATTTTAAGAAATCCACTCATTTGTTTGACAATACAGGGAATATTTTTTATTTTACAGGTGAGAAAAATTAGGATACCCGATACAATACGCGAGAAATTTGTGATTGATTTTTGAAAAGATCTGGAAAAAAGTGGACACCATTACGATTGTAAAATATTCGCAATGGTGCTCTTACAGCTAAGCAATGTCGGCAAGGTAAATGAAGATAAAACAGTTATGGCAGAGCGCCTCGCTAACTACAGTGCTGCACGATCGAAACTTGAGCATTACCATAGTAGTCAGTTAACGTCATTGTTTATAAACATTTTCCATATTTCTTCATAATTTGAACCGAAAAGTATGCCATGTTATGTCCGGGACTAGTGGTCGTGAAACCACGTTATTTATTGTTAATAATAAAAATGCCTCCGAATTAACGATAATAAAAATAATTTGAGTCAGAGTGTTGCTCATGGACTCGCTCCCGAATAGTTTGTCGAAGTTTTTCCTTGTAGATGCGAATAGTTTCTATATTCCTTTTACTTCTGAAAGAATTGATTAAAATTGCTGGGAAAGAAGGATACTTCTGACTTCTTAAACCGGATTCTCAATGTCTATTCAGAATGTTTATTTATGCCGATTTTTGTACAACACTTGAAATTAATATTCTTTTTTATAAAATGTGATTCTTGACAGTTTTGATCGATTATTTGATTCTATATAATTCAAAGTTCAAATGGTAAAAATGAAATTTACAAAATAATATTTAATGTTACAGTTGTTTCTCGCTTGGTTACAATTTTTTATTTATCCAGAGGTACTCTTTCGCGTCCTCTGGGCTTCGGAATATGTTGAAAAATACAGTGGGCTTCAATGTTTTTCAGTTTCACTGAGGAATAACACACACGACCGGTTTTATTATTTATAAAAACGACGCAATTCCGAAAATCTGCGTTTCAGATTTCGAAAGAAAGGAGAAATCACACATTAAAAATGTATCAAAAGAGCGTTTGGAGCCACGAAAGCTCTAAATGATTTTAAGTGTGATGTAAGAAGAAGATGGAGAAAATTCTAAAAATGTTAGTAATCTTACGGATCTCAGACGACGATCAATTAACCGAATGTTACGGGGAAGATGATTCAGCTAACCGTCGTAATTCAAACAGATACTGTTTTATCGGTGCCGTGGCGCTAGTCCGATTTAAAAAGATTAACGTGACTCGAATTTAAATCTCCAAAGAAAGAGAACCGTAGGGTTCCACGATTTTTCCGCGACTGGAGATTAAGTGTTCGTAATTCGATGTTTATAGTTTGAATTTAGGCCGTTAGCTGATTGAGTGGGAGTGGTTGATAGCCAAAATTCGAAGTGTGATATTTTGTCACACGGTCGAATTTTCGCTGATTATTATTCTACTTTCGTGTTGTATTTTCTCATACTTTAAGTAGTCCGAGTTATTTGGAGTGATTTCGGAATTCTCGAAAGACAATTGCGAAATCCAATACGTCGCTAAATTTTTTAAATTGTTGAAAGTGGCCTGAATTTTAAATAATTTATGGATATCACTGCCATGAGACTTGTAAATTAACAGGTAAAATCATTTATATCGTAAACGATCTATTTGATTTTTTCAATTTAATTTTCCGACACGGTTGTTCACTTGAGCGGTTAAACATCCTTAATCTGGAATTGCGGCTACAAATGCTCTAAAATAATATCACAGATACTATATGACAAATTGTCAGACTTCTTACTTAAACCTTATTTTTTTCACTTTCGAATGGAAGTCTTGCTTTTGCTGAGATTGATAACAAATTTCCAAAAAATAACCACATCCTTTCCGACATCCATACACACCTTTTTTGAAAATATCATATTTTGATGGGTAGTAAGGTGGCGAGTAAGGTGCCCCGTATTTACAGGGCAGTTACGGGGCAGACATGGGGCAGCTATTTACGGGTTCAAAAGGCATAAAAGTTATTAAAAAACAAGGTAAGCCTGTATAAATTAATGAAATCGTGATATTTGCAATGTTAATTGCATGGAAAATGATAAATCAATGATGATAATCATTAGTGATCACCATATACTTGGCAACCGAAAAATTAATTATGCATTTTAACTATGCTCATTAGTTTGGGGATCATTTGGGGATATTTTGGCAGAAAGTTTCAACTTTTAGGGAAAATTATTTGATTTATTATAAATTAATTAAGTTGGAACTTATAGTTAGCAAACGAATAATTTAAAATTTTTTTTAAATTACAGAAGATTTTAAATGATTTGGGGAATCGATTCCTCAACACCAAATTATTTAGGGAAGAATAAAACTCCTTCAATTACTTAATTTCAATTCTAAATGGAAATTCGGGAAAAATTGTCTCGCAAATATATATTCAAACGATTGGGAATCGCCTGAAACGTCGAGATTTATGGGTCCCTCGGAACCTTTTTTTTTTCAACGGTTCCATTTTTCCCGAATTTGTTTAATCATTTTTTAATTTGTTAACAAAAATAGAGCCGTTGAAAAAAAAAAGTTCCAAAGGACCCATCAATCTCCACGTTTCAGACGATTCTCAATCGTTTGAGTATACATTTGCGAGACAATTTTTCCCGAATTTGTTCAATCATTTTTGAATTTGTTAAAAAAAAAAATATCGTTAAAAAAAAAAGTTCCGAGGGACCAATAAATCTCCACATTTCAGCTGATTCTCAATCGTTCGAGTATACATGTTCGAGACAATTTTTCCTCAATTTTTTAAACAAATGGGGTATTTATGAATGTTAACTCGCTTTTTCATTCCGTTCATCGGTTGTGTCTTTATCATACCCCCACTCTCCAGTACATCGGATGTTTTCGTTCGTTTTCGAACGTCATCGTTATTTCGATAAGTGCCCTAACTTTCTGACACTCACGACCGCCTCGAATTATCGACACTCACGGGCTCGCGCTCTGTCTTATTGATACTCACGGACTCTGAACATTATCAACACGCACGGACTCTGAAAATTATCGACACTCACGGGCTCGCGACCTGTTTTACTTACACGTACGGGCTCTCTGGGCGTAGTTCTGCAGCCGCTGCAATGAATTACTCGCCAAAGCCTTTCCATAAGCCCTCGCAATCTCCCCTATAATCTCTGGAATTTACTCCAGAATAAAACTTGCTCCGAAATGACGACCGCCAACAGCTGGTCTCGGCGGCCATTTTAAATCGGAAAATTTAAATGGCACTGCGGTGTGGGACAATATGAGAATCATTTATTAACACGCGAATGACAATTTAATACCCGGATTCTTTTATTGAGTAATGTATGTACCCAAGCAATTCCTTACGTTTCACATGAAAGGTAGAAAGACCGTCCCCAAATAATTCTCAACGTATATAAATATAAATGTTTAGAAATTGATTATACTCCCCTCCCTCACTACACTATCACTCGAAATTAATTAATTAAAGGAGTTTTATTCTTCCCTAAATAATTTGGTCTTGAGGAATCGATTCCCCAAATCATTTAAAAGATTTGAGTAATTTTTTAAAAATTTTGAATTATATGTTTGCTAACTATACGGTTCAACTTAAATAATTTATAATAAATCTAATAATGTTCCCTAAATGTTGAAACCTCCTGCCAAAATATCTCCAAACGATCCCCAAACTAATGAGCATAATTAAAATGCATAATTAATTTTTCGGTTGCCAAGTATATGGTGGTATTAATTGGTGCGCCCGATGACGAATGATGGAATGGGTATGCATGCGGGCATGCACAGGGCTGAAAATTAATTCAATTATTTAATTTATTAATTATCATCTCTTTATCAATTCCCTAAAGTATGAAATCTACAAAAAGCAATTCCCCAAATGATTCTACGTAATTCCCTATTCAGAAAAATAAAAAATAAGAAATTTTTGCTAACTATACGCTTTAATTAAAAAAAATGAATAATTAATAAACGAGATCTCCCCAAATTATGAAACCCTCTCCCTCAATTTCCCCAAATTATTTCCAAATTATTTGATAGGTTAATTAATGATTTACATTAATTAGTGCGCCAAGTATACGGCGGTCCCCTCCGACTACCTGCACAATACAGTCATACCCATTCTTTTATTATCATTGGAGTTAGGAGCTAGGTGAACCGATTGAGCACACTTTGCCCATGTGTGCTCTACGGAGATAAGTAAAAAGGATGGCGATAAGCGGCTACTTACTTTTCTAGGGCTATAAAATCATGAGGTTATGGTGGGCAAAGTAACATAAATAACTAAATTTTTTTTCAAAACAGACATAAGTGAATCCAGAATGAATGACAATATAACCAATCGAAATAACTCGTCGTTTCTATATCGGTATAATTCATTGATTTCGAAAGTATCAAATGATGATTGGTGTTTGTTTTATTTATTGACAGAACATTGTGTGATGAAAAATAAACCAAGTAGAATATTGCTTATACATAAATTTTTTGTTAATTTCTGTTGTAACTTCGTTCAATGAGGCAGTTAGACAATAGTTTGTACCTTATTAAGTTTACGACATGTATCATTTGCTTTGAATCAAAATGGATTCAATAAATAATCAACCGAAAATAACCGAAAAGTCCACGATCTACTGCTTTGAATGCTGAATAAAGATTAATGGAATATAAAAGAGAATAAATTAAAGGATAGCAACTGAGTTTTGAAAATAATGGAGCTTTTTTTCGAATTTTTTCCGATGTACATGCGTATACGTTACATGCAAAAAAAAGAATTATTTCATGAAGCAATATAAATTAATGCTTCTTCATGATAAACGTGTGCCAGACACATCATGTCGAAGATATCATGAATTGAACTTTTCAAAACTTACGTCAACACGTGTACAAGAATTACTGCGAGATACTTTGTTCATATTTGTCATCAAATAAAAAACAAATTCTTTGCCATTCAAAATACTTAAAAGAGCCATTATTACCTAGAAAGATGCATTCTAACACAAGTTAAAGATTAAACAAGAAAATCACCACATAATTATTGTTCTATACATTTTTCCAAGAAATGTAGAAAAGAAAAGTAATCTCAATTGAAGAGAGATTATATTCGTAACAGTTAAAATTCACAAATCGAAAGTCCGACGATTTCCAAAACTTATAGTAATTTCCTATCAAATAAGTTTTACAAATTATCGGTGAAACATCATCCGCTTTCGAATAGCAAACATCAAAAACAGTTTATCGTTTTATTTTGCCACTTTTTTCATGAATTTATTTTTTTGTTACCAAATGTGCCATTCTATAAATACATTTTTCTTTAAAAAATTGTTCTTTAATGAGAACATTGAATTAATTCACCTCTACTTATTTCATTTCAATCAACATTGAATCCATTTTCCGTAGATTTTTTTCTCCATTGTAATCAAGCGTAGAAAGTGGAGAGATGTGATAGTTCGGATATTTTCGTCGAAGCAAAACTGTTGATTGCTAATTTAGCGGGCTGCTTCTACTCAATTTTTCAGTCATTACGAGGAGGACGAGTTGTCGCCATTGCTGTCGAGATATCCTCCAGCACCGTTGACCACAAATGAGGTACCCAGACCATATAAATGGCCGCAGTATTTCGCATCATCGATATGGTCTTCGAAAAACATCTAAAAACATTAATTGAACATATTGCATAAAATTCTTTGCACTTCTATTTTAATGAATTGCCTTCTTAAGGATGTTTAACCAAAACCCTCACCACCCAACGTTATTTTGATTTTTTCCTATATTATACATCTATATCCGAGGTATATGTTAATGAAAATCTCAACCCTTCTATCGGGGGCTCCAAAAGAAATTCATTTCAGAAAACCACGGTAGTAATGGAAAAGTAAAACTGAGTCGGCTTTTGAATATTTATGGAATATAGACCTCCCGATACAATTGGCTTGAAAGTCTCCATTCGTTGAGTACCTCTTGCAAGTAGTATCTATCGAACGTAGTCTTTGGTTCAAATTTGATCTTGCTACGATAAAATATTTCTATAGTGTGCTTTCAAATTGCATCGGAGAGACCAATAGTTATAAAACAAAAGATAAAATAGAGCAACAATTTCTGAATGGCTCTATATCAAGATTGTGATTCCATGGAATCGGCTAAGTTTCAAAATAATTAAAAATATACAGTTTACAATTGGTAACTTCATCTCGGCAAAACAAAATAATTTTTTTCACGATAACTGAGCAAAAAAAATTATGAAATACTTCAATGATGAGTTACAAAATTGTTTTGATTGTTGTTGAGCTGGGATATGCAAATAATAATAATAACCACTGTATTGAGATTCGAAAAGGTGATCCCAAACTGGTACTTTGGAAATATTCCACATTAATTGACTTCGATTAGAACTTGATATGATATTCTCGATGGTTTACTCTTCAAATCCCCAGTTAATTACCGTAGCTCTATATGTCCTATAATTTTTTGGATGACCATTCCGAAACGCATCGATAATTTTATTAGCAAAAATAACTGTGCTATATATAATAAACGAACAATTTGCCACTTGAATATAGTTATTTCTTATAACGGTTGGAGTGGTTATGAGGCAAACCAAAGATTACATTCCATTTCTACTATTTGCGGGCTTCAAATCCGAACTCAAGTATAAAGCAATTCGTCGTCGTGATATTGATCATCAGTCTAATTTTCACGCTAATTTCAACAATTTTTTTAACTATTATAGATTAATGATTAGTGTAGAGAGTTACGAGAACATGAAATCCCTGCCAGATTTTTGAACATTTTATACTAGGATGAGATAAGATTCAAATCACCTATATAACGTTTGGCCGATGGCACATGAAAGCTGCCACTCATTGTTATTTTCATGTTTTTTTCCAATGGAACCGTTATGAATAGAAATAGAAAATATTTGCATGGAATTCTGGTAATCAATAGTTCATAATCTGGTTAGAACTTATATTTATGAAGAATGAAAAAGATTGATAGGTGCGCATACTTCTCTCATTTTGAAAAAGACCATTCCAGTCAGCAATGAATCGGAGCCGGCCTGATGCTGAGGCCCAACTCGTTGTAATTCCAACTGCTCGGCGACTTCTTGAAGTCCACCTTTGAGATTTTTACATGACTTCATGAGATACTGTTTCCAAAAAATATGATATTTAAAAAAAATTCATACCTTTCGATGAAAAATAGCATTTAAATATTGAGGCTTATGCTAGAGAGTAGCTATAGAAATACCTTAACATCGTAGATGGTGGGAAAATATATCCTTAACAATTCGAAGAATTCACTCTCCTCTTGTGGTAAATTTTGATCAGTAAGTAGCTTTAATAAATATCCAAAATCGTAACCAGAGTGAAAAGACAACCACTTAATATCATCGGCAAGGACGATTCCGGATGTCATAAGAAGTTCAGCAAAATCAAGGGGATCAATTCCTTCTTCCTCGTGTTTTTTGAACTGTATCCCACTGTTTTGGAGCATGTCAATGCTGTCTTGAGCGTACATGTCTTCCCTAACAATCAGAAGGAATTAAAACAAATAAATAAAGTTATTGCTTCACGTTGAAATGGCCAAAATATAATTGTGAAATTAATACAAGTTCAATTAAATTTCCCTGAAACAAATTCATTAAACCAAAAAATGGCAAGACACTTTTAGCAAGACTCAGTAATTCGCAAAGATTAATGTTTTTTACAGGATTTTTCTACCGACATTTTCGATTTTTCAAAATAAAAATTCTTCATAAAATTGGTATAGAGAATTTGAACGAAGAAACCATATAAATTATCAGAAACTTAATCCAAAACATTGTTAATCAAGTAGAAAGCAAGTAGAAAGTGAAAAAAAGCATAATTTTGTAATCGAATTCGCTTAGAATTCAAATCAACATTCAAGAAAATAAAATCTTCATTTGATTTTTACAGGCGTATGTTTGCATATATGAACTTACTGTAAATTGAATTTAAAATTGAACTGCCACGTTGTATAACTCCCACCCGGCGTATTCCCGGATTCATCGAGGAAAGTCAAACCCAGTTGGATAATTCTTAGAAGATCAACGTTACAACGTAACAATTGATATTGGTAATCAGCGCTCGTTCGAAATTCACCTGAAAGACGAAACAGTTGAGTAATATTGTTGGCGTGTACCAGCCAGTGTTCATCAGATAAAAAATGCCAACTACCTATTGGCCTTGCAACAACTCCAGGAAACTCGGTATCCATGGCAATATACTGATACTGTTGAACAACCTGTCGAATAGTACGAAATTCTTCCTCCAAATTATGCCCCCAGACATCTCGAATTCCACATTCTTCATTACTGGGCATACTACCCCCTCCTTTCCCTATGGAATTAACTCCACCTGTTCATTAAGAAAATATTCAATGGTTCATATTAATGAGGCAATAAAAGATTCTAGCGTAACATTTACAGCATTAAAAGTCCTTCAAGGCTTCCTTTGCCTTACCGCTTGCACTTTTCCTGACCATTTGCAGTTGATCGCTGATGCTACAGAATATAACTGAAAATGATTATTTTAATAGCACCAATAACAATCCAACAACTCAAACAATAATTTAACCTTGGCAACTGAATTTTTAGTCAATTCATGGGTTTTTCTGACATTTTTCCTTTAAAAATGAAAATTCTAATTTCATATACTATATTTCATTACATTCATACCAATGAACAAATTCTTGAGATGAAGAGCAAACTCATTACACGAAATATGAAATATTTTTCCAATCCGAATAAATTTGTTTACTATCAGACCAGTTTTCATTTGACATGCTTCCGCGCCAATTTTGTTAACCTGTCTCTTAACTTCTACGGTCTCCCAGAAACGAAAAAATTACAGAAATACCATCTGATGACTGAATTATTGGCGGTCATCTATTGATTACAATTAAATAATATATCCTTCATCATTGAGATACAATGGAAGTACAGAGTTCAACAAAATGCTCGAAACATCACGAAATTTCTGAAAAACTAATATGCAAGTTCTGGATTGAAAGGTGAGGGTTGGTTGAGTAGAAAAATAGTTGACTCGGAATCGTAAACAACGTAATTATTGTAAGGACATATTTACCCTCATTAGAGGTTAATTGCAATCATTCTTATTATTTTATGTTATTCTGCTATGAGGAATAATGAGGTTTAGTACTAGAACTGGCCTAAAAACTGAACTCACAATGATGCTATCCTTATTGCCATAATTTCCAACCGTTATTCCCTATGTCCTAGTGAAGTTACTAGTAGGACAGTGGCGCCAGTTCCCAATATTTGCGCCAAGTTTTAAAAACGTAGAATTCGTTAGCCCTTAGACCTCCTAATGAGGACTCCATCGATGTCGACTCGTTCAATTCAAACAGTCGGATTCAGGTTTTATAAATAAAATAAATCCAAACAGCAATGCTTAGAAGAGCACGTAACACATTTAATAACTTTTAAACTTAACTTGAACCTTGAAATACTAACAGACTTTAAGAAAATTAAAACAAAACTGCACTGTGTAACTTGACGAATAACTAATTGAAAAGAAAAGCGGCACAGTAACAAGTTAAAATCGAACTGCCTTAATTTACACATCCACTTTTCACTCGCAACAACCAATTACCGGCCCGTGAACATAATTATTATATTTTTCGCCATTTTCCCCGGAAGGATTCGATCCACTGAACGTTCATAATTTATCACTTTTTTTTTGTCAACGTATTTATTTTTGTAAACAAATTCGACATTTGTTAACAAAAATAATGACGTTGCACAAAAAATTGTCCAAAGGACAAACTAATCTCCACGTTTACTACGATTCTAAATCGTTTGAATATATACTGGCGTGACAATTTCTTAACGATTTGTTAAAGAAATGTCGAATTTGTTAACAAAAAAAGTATCGTTATAAAAAAAAGGTTCCGAGGGACCAGTAAATCTCGACGACTCAGCTAATTCCCAATCGTTTGAGTATATATTCGCAAGACCATTTTTTCCCAAATTTTTTTAATAATTATTGAATTTGTAGACAAAAATAGAACCGTTGAAAAAAAAACGTTCCGAGGGACCAATAAATCTCCACGTTTCAGACGATTCTCAATCGTTTGAATATATATTTCCGAGACAATTTTTCCCGAATTTGTTTAATCATTTTTGAATTTGTTAACAAAAATAGAGTCGTTGAAAAAAAAGGTTCCGAGGGACCCATAAATCTCCACGTTTCAGACGATTCTCAATCGTTTGAGTATACATTTGCGAGACAATTTTTCCCGAATTCGTTTAATCATTTTTTAATTTGTTAACAAAAGAGATATCGCTAAAAAAAAAAGTTCCGAGGGACTGATAAATCTCCACGTTTCAGACGATTCGCAATCGTTTGAGTATACATTTGCGAGACAATTTTTCCCGAATTTGTTTAATCATTTTTTAATTTGTTAACAAAAGAGATATCGTTAAAAAAAAAAGTTCCGAGGGACTGATAAATCTCCACGTTTCAGACGATTCGCAATCGTTTGAGTATACATTTGCGAAACAATTCTTCCCGAATTTGTTGAACAATTTTTCGAATTTACAGAAGTGAATTTATTTTTCTCATTCCGTCCATCGATTGTTTCTCCATCATACTCCCACTCCGCTCTATATACCCCCGGGTACTTACCCGACAAAAGTCAGTAATTCGAAAAACGCACTTATGTACTCGATTGTACATCGTTAGTACATGATTGTACCTATAAATTTCTTGTTTGTACATCAACTGATTAATTTAAAAAAATTAATTAAATTTCGGCATGATCTTAACCGACAGCAAATTAAAAATTGATCAATAAAACCAAATTAGGGGTGTTTTCCGAAGGAAATCGTGTGTACATCAGGAATTTCTTGTTTTCGTCGTTTGTACATTGATTGTGAATGAGTTAAATCCATTTGAAAAATCATGGTCTAAGTTGCGCGTTCCTATACTATCGACCTCTGCGCATTGTTCTGTGTTTAAATGGGTTTTTATTGCATTATTCTTTGCTTTACGAGTATAAACATTGAATCTAACAGAAATTGTACTATTGAAATGTGGATTCTGCATCAAACTTTCATTGAAAGAAATATTGCGCGCATCTACGTCATAACAAGTCAGGTGAGAGGGGCCGCGATGAGAGGGGACAATTCATTTTTAGCCACCATGTTCATTTCGGAGTGCAGTGGAGAGTCATTTTTGGAGTGGAGTATTATTGAAAAGCATTATTGGGGAACATCCGTACATTCGAATTAATCGTATGGAAATGCATTAACCATAATTTTGAGGAAATAAAAATTTGATTTTGCTTCAATTGAGAGTAAAATCCTTCTCCTTTATGAATCCCTTAGATGGAGCTCAATTTTTCAATTTGTTCCTAATTTATAAACATTTGAAAAAAGTCATGAGCCTCCATTTTACCGCACTGCCCCCTATATACATTAACGAGTAGCAGTGATAGGATCTGCGAAAGCCCATTTAGACACAGAACAAAGAGCAGAAATCGATAATATAGAGACGCGCAACTTAAACCATGATTTTTCAAATGGATTTAACTCATTAACAATCAATGTACAAACGACGAAAACATGAAATTCGTAATGTACAAACGATTTCCTTCGGAAAACACCCCTAATTTGGTTTTATTGATCAATTTTTAATTTGTTGTCGGCTAAGATCATGCCGAAATTTAATTAATTTTTTTTAATTAATCCGTTGATGTACAAACAAAAATTTTATAGGTACAATCATGTACTAACGATGTGCAATCGAGTACATAATTGCGTTTTTCGAATTACTGACTTTTGTCGGGTAAGTACCCGGGGGTGCTCTATATGGGATGTTTTCTTTCGTCACGATTTTCTGGAATTATCGACACTCTCGCGTTTGCTGATCTTTCCGAATTACCGACACTCTCGGGCTCGCGCTCTGCCTTATCTGTACCCACGCCCTCCGAAAATTACCGACACTCTTGCCCTCGCGACCTGTTTGATTCACAGGTACACCCGCAAAATTAGTTCGGCTCGGGCGGCCAGACAATTTCGCGATTGATGCTTCGCCATTGGCGTTAGCAATCTCCCCTATAATCTCTGCTGCTACGAGTCGCTGAGCCGGCTAACGAGCAGATACCCCAGCGTTGCGTGTGGCGCCCTCCCTCTTAGGAGGTCGGCTACTACGATGCCGCTGCGGTCACTCAAACCCCCAGAAGTGAGCCTCTACTTTGGTCAATCCTCTTTGTCCTCGTCATTGGCGTTAGCAATCTCCCCTATAATCTCTGATTAAATAATCTATAATTGACTTTCTCTATCCTTAGGAAATCATTTAGACGTATTTAGAAAATTATTTTCGATATTTGGAAGTACAAATATTAATTAATGTTAATTATGTTGGTTAATTTAGCAGAGGTAACAAATTATTTTAAATTTGACCTTGTCAGTCGACCTAAAATCATTTGGATAATCGATTGATTCTACAACTAATGTTTGGAAATGTTTATTTCATTAATAATTAACAATTTATCATAAAAGTAGATATCGCGCGCACTTGTGCGCATGCGCAACATATAAATTACAGGATGCGGAGAAACTGTAATACATTTTGGATTTGGTACATAATTAATTTTTGACAGGAGATCATCGTATTTCAACCGTTTTCGTATAGTGCGATGACAATAAGCGATGAAATGTTCATTTTGACCGATTTTTAAAAAATGAATTACTCCCGCAAGTCTGAAAAAAACAAATAGATGAGCATCTAAACAATTAATCAGCTTGGCTTCGAGTCACGCGTAATATTAAAATTTTACTCACTGGTAAGTCTCATTCAACTCAAGGAATTGTGGAAAGTCTGTCAATGAACACTTCGAAGCATTCACTCGATTAGCAGCATTTCTGACAGCCAACTAAGGGCAGATACGTCAATTCACAGTGGTTTCTTAAGTGACAGTCCCATGACGCCCTAGTTGTCCACATGTGATATTAAAAATTTTCGGATTATAGGCCAATGCCTCGCTAATTATAATTAATTAAATTACCTGAGATTGAATACAGCTAAATACAAAAAACTCTGCGTTTTGGAGGACTCCGCTACGAAATAACTCAGCTGTAGCATGGAACATGGCGTTCCCCTCCCGTCTCAAATGAGCTTCGCCGACTCTGAAACTCTTTTGTGAAATTATGTAGGTAATGGATAATTGTATAACCATAATTATTATCTATCAATCACCTACGAACGATTTTGAATCGATTCATAGGTTGTGAAGAATTTTATCAATAAAATCATTGGGAAAAGGGGTCAGCTTCCGGATAATTTATAAAAAAATTAATTAAAAATCGTATCTTGTTTATCAAAGAATAATTTCTGTCTATCATTGACTAGCAAACCTTTATCTATCGATGTGACTAGCTCAGTTGTTCAATTTATTAATATCAGTAGGCAACTTCCCAATTTCTGGAGCAGTATGTAATTAGCCGCAAATTTTCAACAATTACAAAAATGAACTCATACAATCGATTGTAAATTATTCGCAGGTGATTGTAAAAAAGGTCATAATGTTTAAGAGTAGATAGTTTTTTTATAAAAAATAAAAAACTTGTGACCCATGTAGTTAGCCGCATTTTTCTTTCTTATCACTCTTAAATGATTTTTTTTATTGTAATCGTTTGCAATTCGTTTGTAAATACTATATTCATTTGAATCGACGTTTAAGAGTCATTAGTCTGGAAATTATCAGCAATAAACGTGATTGCAAAATTGCGTGGAGGGGATAAGACTTTGCAAGTATGATGGCGCATGCGCAACTATTCAGAGGATTTTTCGGTTATACGTTCAAAAATAGATTAATGTCTTTCTCACTTTAATTTTGAAAGATTTCACTACGGCTGTCTTTTAATTGAACATTGAGTGACACATCGAAACCATTGTACTTTTTGTAAGTACATTAATAATTATAATAACTTGTTCACTAATGGGTGACATTTGGAGAATACTTATCGTTTGAGTAATCCCTGGTTATTCCCACCCAAGCTTACAGCTTATGCTGTTAATTTCATAAACCCAGTTAGGGTTGGGCAAAAACCTTGAATTCAATA